ATTTGGAAGTGCCTACCGCCACTTGCTCATTTAGCAAGTATGTACTCGGCATCAATAAATTCAGACACTGTGCTGGAACAGCAACATCAAATATGTTGGCTCTGCCTTCAAGGGACTCGGCACATAGTAGGGCAGATAGGAGAGCTACAGAAAGAGCGCAAAACAAGGGTCACGCTCCCCAGAGATTTTTTTCTGCTCCCGAATGCAAAGAATCTTATAGATCTCCTCTTCCTCGTCTATGGGACAAGAGATGAGAGATGGGGACTCTTCTCCTACCCCTGTTCCCTCCACCCTGCTTCCCAGTAGGCGTGGTCCTCCTGATGTCCTGCCAACGCCATCTCTTGGCAGAGGTTATGAACAAGGTGGTCAGGCCCATGGTGATGTCAGAAAACCACTCAGAGCTGGAGACCCATGCCAGGATTCAAAAAGAGTCATCTCAGAATGTACTTAGGAATACGCACCTTCCAGGGAATGGTGGCACAGGGGCCTTGAGTTCAAGAGACCCGGGCGTCCACTGTGAGGATGTGATGATTGAGATCTCCACAGGTTTACGGAGCCATCTGGGAATGGAAGGGCAAGAGGCAGTAACCGGCTGATGGCCCCACAGGCCTGGGCCTTGCAGATGATGACACAGTGGGAGAAGAACATTAGTGAAATCAAGGCTGGGCATTGCTCGGTTTGTGCTTTTCCCAGCCAGAGAAAGCTCAGCCCTCTTGTACCCTACTGTATGTAAAACCATTTCCCTCAGCGATGCAGGTTAAAAAGGGGTAATTGCCAGCTCCAAGAGCATGGTCAATTAATACCATTATTACAATTGGGCTGGAAATTAACCCCTTGTGTGTGGAATCTACAACATATCCAAATGTGTTTCAGGGTAGCTGATTTGCAAAATTCTTGTGTGGTAGCATGGTTGGTGCTTTCTTAGAAGAATTCAAAGCAGAGGCAGGGGGTGGAGGAAGAGTGCCAGCTGCAGCCCTCGCTTCTCCCAGGCCTGGGGTCAGAGTTCTAAGATCTAAAGCCATGAGCAGTGAGATGTGGGGGTGACTGCCTTTCCTGCTAGAGGGGTGTTCACCATGCCCTGTCAGACATGCTTGCCTACCCTCTGGGGGATGCAGGCACACGGCCCTGCAGGTACAACCTGTGTATTCTACAGATCTGAAAACCTCAAATAAAGGAGTGGCTTGGGAACCTTGGCGAACCCTAAACTGATCAAAATTGTGAGGCTTACATAGATGATTGTCTGCTTTGGGAAATCAGATGTGAAGGGAAGAAATCGCCCTCCTCAGTGGGGAGGCTGTGGGTGGGTGGGGTGTGTGTGCATTACCATGTGGGGAAACCTAAGGCAGGGCTGCCACTAGCATGAGTCAAGCAAGGTGACTGAAATGCAAAATTTAAGGTGGCCCTCACTTTCAGCTTTGGGCAAGAATAGGTTAAGTACTTGCCTGAGCCTGAGAGTGAGGGTCTCCTTAAATGTTGTGCTCTGGTCCTAGTGCAGCTCTCTGATGCCTGGCTCTGGTCCTTACTGAAAGAACACAGATGCCTGTCTGCCCTGGGGAAGGATGGAGAAGCAGACCAGGAGGATGGTCACTCTTGGTGCAGTACTCATTTCTCCCTCCTCCATGGTAACAGAAATCAGATTTATTTTGGGTGGTGAACAATGGACCCAGTTAAATAAGAGTAAATATTGGGGTGCGTCCACGAGTCCTCATAGCCTGGTGTGGTCATGTGAGAACGAGAAGCGGAAGTGACGTCATGCAGGCACAAAAGGCTGCTTAGAAGGAGTTGACTAACCTGACATTCACCTCTTGTCCTGCCAGTCTGACTTCCCTCCTTGCAGCCTGCCAATGCTGAGCTCCAAGGCCATCCAGCATCATTAGGTGACCTTGAGGATGGAAGCCGTGTCCTAGGAAGACAGAGTAGAAAGATGGAAATCTGACACCGTGGAGCTGTTTATGAATCTCACCACAGCACATAAGACAGGTCTTTCTAGATAAAGAATTGTGACTCTGAGACATAAAGTCAGAATAGGCAGAGTGGGAATTAAGGCCCAGGCGTGTCTGATTCCCAAGCTGCACTCTTAGCTACTACCTGGTCCTGCTGTCCAGGTGCCTCCTGGGACAGAGCAGAAAGTCAGCTCCTTTCCTGGCTCTGCTGAAAGCATGTCTGTCAAGGCCCTGGAGGAGCTTGTGCTCCCTGATGATTCTGAAGCTGGACTGGGGACATTGCTGTGCCCTTGGCTCTGCTGGCCAGGCCCCAGAAGACCAGCCTCCCCTGGGCCAGCTCTCGGCTTGCTGCTTACCACTTGCCCGGTGTTGGTCAGCCTGGGACCCCCAGGGGCTTCTTTTCCAGCCTCCAGCAGCTCAGCTAGATTGGGTTTCCATGAAATATGCATGCTTTCTCCCGAGGCCCTGGAAAGTGTGTCTGTTCAGATCAGCTGGTCTGATCTGCAAGGGTGCTGATACGAGGTGCTTGGTCCTTTCTCTGCCTTGTCTCCCACTTAGTGTAAAGGGAGAGGGCCTCCGGGCCACAGCATCTTCACATTTCAAGGGCAGTTCAGGAAGAGAAAGGTTGTCCAAGGACAGGTTCCATGGGCGGTGGCATGGAAACCAGATGACTCTCAAGAAAACCATTCATTCAAGAGACAGGACAAGGCCTCCTCGATCTAATCTGAGGTCCCCAGGCCTATCTCACTGCTCCCAGACACCTGGCCATTGATGATAATTGGGCTTGTTTCTTCCATCTTGAAGGCTGTGAGAGCTTAAGCAGGTTCCCCAGCTGAGTTTGAGTTCTGATTGTATTCATCTTAGGCTCCAGGCTTGCACGACCATGTGAAAGGTTAACAACAGGGAAGAAGGTGTGAGGGGTCTGCCAGGGGAAGGTATTCTTGTGAAAAATAAAGAAAGAGCTCCCTTAAGGGAAGAGAGGGCTGAATACTTAATTTTGGTTTGAAGGATGTGGAAGGGGACAAAGGTGAGATGGGCAGGTGCACACCATCTGTCAGGGAGGGGTGGCCACCACAAAAGGCTTGGTGTTAACTCCTCAAGTTCTGCCTCTTCAGGGCCCTTAGGCTGCAGTGCCTCAGTCCCCTGATTCCAGCTGATGTGTGTGACTATGCAGGGGTGGGCGATGGTGCCGTGACCTCAGGAACCCCTCCACCCATGGCAGTACTCTCTGACATCTGCTCCAGCAGGGGCCAGAAGAGCAGGAGCACTGCAGCTGCCACTGGCCATGCGCAATGGTAAATTGTTTCTGCCTACTTGGCTGGCTATGGGTGTCTCTAGAGAGTTGGTCAAGCATCATTCTAAGTGTGTACGAGAGGGTGTTTGGGGGAAAATACACATTTCCATGGGTAAAACTGAATAGCAGATGGCCTTCCCTAGTGTGGGTGGGTCTTGTCCAACCAGTTGAAGACCTGACTTGAACAAAAAGTTGACCCTCAGTAGAAGAGAATCCTCTTGCCCGACTGCCTTTGAACTGAGGCATCTTATTGGTTCTGCAGCAGCTCCCAACTTTTGGACTCAAACTGGGACATCAGCTCTGCAGATTTTTCTATTTATAGGCCTCTATAATTGTGTAAAACAAGTCCTCATAATAAATCTCATATACATTTGTATGTCCACCTTTATGTGAAGATACATACATGTATGGTGTATATTTGTGTGTGTATGTGTGTGTGTACATAGTCATCTTACTGGTTTGACCTATGGGTAGTCAACTTACAGATGATGTTAAAGTGATTTGCATTCAGCAGAAACCATTTTGTAACTTTTAAACTAGGGTACTTTCCTGGGCTTTCAGTATGCATTCTGAAACTGAGGAGTCTGGCCACAGCCCCTTCTCCCACTTGACCCTGTGGTTACAGGGGCTAACAGCTGGTACTTGGTAGTATTCTGTGTGGCTAAGCTAGGGTGCTTCTGTAGGGTATGTGTGATAAACATATTTTTGACTTAGGATAGTTCTAATTTATGATGAGTTTATCAGGGCATAACTCCATCGTAAGTCAAAAGGCATCTTAATCTGGATATCCATCCATCCATCTACCTCTCTCTTCCAGTCTTTTGTTCCTCTGTAGGAGCCCTAATTCCCGCTGTCAAGAGGCATCTCTGTGGTACCATGGTAACTAAAATGAAAAGGGAAAGAGTAAATGCCGTGAAGATTCAGAGGGATCTCTGAAGAAGACATCTGGAAACTTCCAGAATTATCAGGCAGAAATCTGGGGGAGTGGGCTGACTTGTTTCCTTAGAGTCAGCGAGGGCACAGAGGACATAGCAGAGGACCTGCTCTGGGCTAAATTGTGGCCCCCTGAGTTGTCCACATCCTAATACTCAGAACCTGTGAATATGCCACCTGCCGTGGCCAATGCAATGTGATCAGGTGAAGGGCCTTGAGATGGGGAGAGTATCCGAGGGGCCCAGGGTAGCCACAGGGGTCCTTGCAAGGAGGAGGCAGGAGGGCCGTAGGGTGGGAGAGCGAGCTGTGGTGGTGGAAGCAGAGGACAGTGAAACACTCGGGAGATGGGGTAAGGGATGGTAGGCTAAGGAGTGTAGGCTCCTGGGAAAACAAATACAGACCCTGGGGGGAGCAGGTTACCTTCGCCTGCGGTGAGCAGAGAGGGAGCGTCTCTACCTAACTCTGTGATGTCCTGGGCTGATCCTCCCACACCCTGCTTGCCCTGATTGATGCCCTGATGATGTTGAGCTGCTGAGTTGACCCTCGAACTATGTTCCCCAAACTACATTTTTCAAACGTCCTCTGGGTGAAGTCATGTTTTAGGAGGGGTTTCTGGTAATTTGGTGGCCAAATGCATCTTAACAGAACCAACGTCACGGGGATTCCTCTGGCTACCTCAAAATATCGTATGCCTAGCCTGGCCCTGCTTGTTTTGAACCAGTGGATGGGCGCTCTTTCTGCCTCTCAAAAAAAAAAATCTTTTTCAAAAAGATTCTGCTGTCTATCTACCTGGCATCTCAGTCCCATCCCACCGCTAGTGGAAGTGGAAGGGCTCATCTTTCTGTCCTTGATGCGAGCCGACTGTTAGACAAGGCGGTGTGCTGAGCAGATCTGAGTGCCTTGATGTCTGGGGAAGGTGACCTGAGATGGTTTTGACCACGAAGAGGAAGCAGGAGAGCTTGAGGGACCGCGGACCATCAGTGGCTAGGGGTGCGATTACTGCCACGGCATGAGGTTGAGGTTCGGCTTTCTTGCTTCCCTACACGTCTTGTAGTTTCTCTAACTTTGGCTTGGCTTCCCAAATAATCTGATTTGCACGTTCTGGCTTTGTGTTTTCTTTGGCTATTTTTAGATCCTTTAATTCTGCTTTGCTGGCAGCTGCTCTTCCCCCAAACACTTGAAGAACTTCCAATCCCACAGTCAGAGGAGGCAGAGCCTGGGGGCTGGGAAGCCGCCTTCTTCCTGCCGTTTGGGACCGGCCTCAGGCGCGGCAGGGCACCCTCGGCCCACCGCAGGCCTCCTCCGCGGGAGCCTTCCAGCTGCGCCTTTCTCACGTGGTGCCGTGCTGGAGCTCAAGTCGGGGGACAGCGTGGTGAGCGTGGGCCCGCTCGCTCTTTCCGAAAATGTCTCCGACGCCACGGAAGGTAAGTATCTTTAAAGATTTATTTATTTGAAAGGCAGAGAGACCCACGCAGAGAGAGGGACAGACAAGTCTTCCATTTGCTGGTTCACCACCTGTCACCCGATGGCTGCAGTGACCAGAACCGAGCCAGACTGAAGCCGGAAGCCAGGAGCTCCACCATGTTGGGGGCTGGAACCAAGCATTTGGGCCATCTGCTGCTGCTTTCCCAGGCACATTAGCAGAGAGCTGGTCTGGAAGTGGAGCAGCCAGGACTTGAACTGGCGCTTATTTGGGATGCCAGTGTCACTGGTGGCAGCTTAACAGGCTGAGTCACAACGGCAGCCCCTAATGACATGGTTTTAAACTCAGCTGAGCTTTTAGTACTGCTTTCCAATCTTTCAGCCATTCCTGGGCTATTTCTTCTCTAAATCCTAGCATGGCTAGTGACAGCCTGCGCTCAAAACCCCAGCTTAGCCACTTCTTGCCTAAGTGACTGTAACCTCTCTGTTCCGTGACCCCCGCTCCCCCCCCCTCGTCACATGGGTCTGATGATAACGGTATTTACTCCCGGGTGTGAGGAGGCTAAAATGAGGAGGCAGGCACAGGCTGCTTGCTGCCGCTTGTTCCCAGCCTTTGTGGAGCTCCCCCAGCCCTGACAAGGCCTTCTCAGGCGACCACTGCTGTCCTCGCCACCGTGAACACAGTGGCCTCTGCCACAGACGACCTCAGTTCCCTTCCACTTCACATATTCGTGCCTCATGCATTTTTATCCTCTTCTTCCAATCATACAGGACAGGTGACCCTTCTATCCGCCCATGCTGATCCTTCACGCAGGGCTTGCTCCCCGCCCTTCCTGTCCACTGGGTCTGCATGGCCACAGTGTCCCTGTCCTTGTCACCGCTCTCAGGGCCACATTTCATAATTGCAAAGGAAGTGGTGAATCTAACACCCTCAAGGTGGAAACAAAAGCACAAATAAATAATGAGAAATGCTGGAGAATCCCGCCTTCCCAGCTGTTTCTTCAGTCCCTTCTTGCCACTCATACAATGCGCTCTTTCTCGTTGTCAGTTTCATGACCCCCACTGCTCTGAGCCAGAGTCTTCAGGGGTCTCTCCTTTCCATGACAAGACTGCTCTCCAGCTGCTGGGCTCAGGAGTGCCCGGTCACCCACCTCGGTCTGGCTTCCCAGCCATCTCTGACTCCCAGGACGCCCTATGATCTCTGACCTTTGCCCCCACTCTTTTCCCTGCTGTTAAAACCCTGTTCAGTAGTCAGGCTGTACCTTCAATGTTGTCTGTTTGGTATGGCCTTCTTCTAACTGTCTCCCGCCAGCAATGATTGCTTCCTGTGTGTGACTCTGCACCCGGCTGAAATCTCTAATCACGTCCTAACACCTGGGCAGGTTCAGAGTCACACAATTCTCTAGATTCATGAAATTTGGCTGCTGTTGGGCCATTGCCTCTGGCTTGGCACTCCTGGGAATGACCGAAATACAGCAGAGAGCTCTCTCCCACTGTTGCCTCAATAGGAATTTAATTTACATTTGGAACTAGCGTATCATAAACAGCCCTGAAACCCAATTTGCAACCAGACCTGGGCACCTTTTCTGGTGTGTGTGTGTGTGTGTGTATTTGTATAAATACGTTTTTTAAATCTGGTCATCAGTTGATAGACATTTAGGTTGATTCTCTGTCTTAGCTATTATAAATTGAGCTGCTATAAACATGGGAGCACAGGTAACTTTTTCATAGACTTATTTCATTTCCTTTGGCTATGTTCCCAGGAGTGGGATGGAGTGGGTCATACGGTAGACCTATTTTTAAATTTCTGAGAAATCTCCATACTTTCCTCCATAATGACTGTACCAATTTACATTCCCACCGACAGTGTATTAGGGTACTTTTTCTCCACATCCTTGCCAGCGTTTGTTAGTTTTTAGCTTTTAGATAACAGCCACTCTAACTGGGGTTGGTGATACTCCAATGTGCCTTTTTTCATTTCCCTGATGTTTAGTGATCCTGAGCACTTTTTCCACACGTCAGTTAGCCCTTTGTATTTCCTCAAGAATGGACATCTCTAATTAAAGCCCCAGGAGATGCTAATAGTGCTGATCTGGGGACCACACTTTGAGAACTGGTGCCCTGGGCCTTGCTTTCCTATATGAATGTTCTCTTACGTTTTCTCCCTATCTCTGTGGCTGTGGCCGCGGCCTTGGCCATGGTGGTTTCTTTGTTCATTAGCATTGGGACTGCTGAGTCCTGTGCATTTTAAATGTGTGTCTTGCTCCTTCCTGGCCCCCTTCCCCTTCCCTATTCTGCCTTTTATGAGCATCCAAAGGACAAGAGTCATGCATGTGGGTTTTTCATTCTCATTGTCGGCAACAACTGGCACACGCCAGGAACTTGAATAAGTACGAATGATTGAGTTGGATGCCAGGGTCTGGCCTGGCATTGAATTGTTTTTCTTTTTTTTTGGCAATGAGTTAAATACTTGCTACTCCGTTTTTATTGTTGGTGAAATGAAAGGAATGGTGCCTGACAACAGATATGAGTGAGAAAATGGGTCAGAAAAAAAGTCAGGCTGGGAGGGAGGTTAATTAATAACCAGTCTTCATCAATAATCTAGAAGCACTTTGGCTGCTGCTACTGACGTGTGCGGTGGCCGAACTGCCAGCAAGGAAGCAGGTGGCCTGTAGAGCTGTCCACAGCACAGAACCCATCCAGCTCGTGTTGTGTAAGTTTCCCCACGAGAAGACAGCGACCGCAGCCTCCGTGAGACTTTCCGTTTGGGTGGAGAAAAAAACAGGAACTGTGGGCCCTTCGCAGCTGCCCTGGCCTAGCGTGCCACCGGAGGTTAACATAAAGCCTGACTATAAAAAGTCCTGCTGCCTGTCCTCTCTAATGTAAAAAATGAATTCAACATTCAGAAGTTCTGAGAAAACCAAAGTATCCAGAAGGATATATTACCTATAATCTTCATGCCCAGAAAAATACCAGCATTTGCATGTCAAAGTATTTCCTTCCTTCCAGTATCCTTGTCTTTGGGTAATATGTTGTGGAGTTTTAGCCTTTATATATTCTGTGCTCCATCTTGAACAAGTCACCTAATGTTATGAACATTTTTCAATTATTTCCCAACCATCAAAAAGTATGACTGTTTATATCTACCTATATACTATATTTGGTTTTAATTGAAGGGTAGAGAAAGACACACACAGTGAGAAAGAGTTCCCACCTGCTGGTATACTCCCCAGATATCTGTAATGGCCAGAGGGGTGAAGGAATGCAATCCAACCCAGGTCTCTCATGTGGATGGCAGGGACCTGATTACTTCAACCATCATTGCTGCCTCCCAGAGTCTGCATTAGCAGGAAGCTGAAGTCAGGAGCTAGCGCTGGAACTTGAGCCCAGGCACTCCAGCATGGGACACTTGCATCTTAACCTGAGTCTTAATTGCCAGCCAATCACATGTCTGTAATCCCCACATTTTAATTACAAAAATAATTGTTCTAAGTAAGCCAAAGCAATCACAAGTGTATGCTATAGGAAGAAGAAAAATTTCTACTGAAGCTGACGTTGTAGCTGCCTCCTGCAGTGCCGAAATCCCATATGGGCGCTGGTTCTAGTCCCGGCTGCTCCTCTTCCAATCCAGTTTTCTGCTTATGGCCTGGGAAAGCAGCGGAAGATGGCCCAAGTGTTTGGGCCCCTGTACTCATGTGGGAGACCTGGAAAAAGCTCCTGGCTCCTGGCTCCTGGCTTCAGATCAGCTCCGCTCCAGCCTTTGCAGTCGTTTGGGGAGTGAATCAGTGGATGGAACACCTCTCTGTAACTCTGCCTCTCAAATAAATAAATAAATCTTCAAAAAAGAATCTTCTCAACTTCCAGTCTACTCCCCAGCAACCCATACTTTTGAAAATATCTGCACATAGTAATTTAAATTTTTTTTAAAGATTTATTTATTTATTTGAAAGTCAGAGTTTTACAGAGAGAGAAAGAGGCAGAGAGAGAAAGAGAGGTCTTCTATCCACTGATTCACTCCCCAAATGGATGCAATGACCAGAGCTGTGCCAATCCGAAGCCAGGAGCCAGGAGCTTCTTCCAGGTCTCCCACCCAAGTGCAGGGACCCAAGGACTTGGGCCATCTTCTACTGCTTTCCTAGGCCATAGCAGAGAGCTGGGTTGGAAGTGGAGCAGCCGGGACTGGAACTGGTGCCCATATGGGATCCCGGCACTGCAGGCAGCGGCTTTAAGACCTGCTATGCCACAGTACTGGCCCCAGTAATTTAAATTTAAAAGCAAACAAATTGGCTTACATTATTCTGTTGTTTTTCCTAAAAAGATTCAACATTTTACGGGCACTTTTGTGTTAGTTTCTAAAAATAGCCAAAGTAGGATTTCTCATAGTTTTTCAATATTTGTTATTGAACATTTATTGTTTGCCAGTTTTTACACTCTAAAAGATGCTGAAATGAACACTCTAAAATATGCCTTTGGGGCTGGTGCTGCAGCATAGCAGGTAAAGCCACTGCCTGCAAAGTCAGCATCCCATATGGGGAGGGATTCAAGTCCCGGCTGCCCCACTTCCGATCCAGCTCTCTGCTGTGGCCTGGGAAAGCAGTGGAAGATGGCCTAAGTCCTTGGGCCCCTGCACCTGTGTGGGAGACCTGGAAGAAGTTCCTGGCCATTGCAGCCACTTGGGGAGTGAATGAGCGGATGGAAGACACTTCTCCTTCTCTGGCTCTACCTCTCTCTGTAACTCTGCCTTTCAAACAAATAAATAAATCTTTAAAAACACAACATGCTTTTATCTCTAAGAAGTCAGCTACTGGCTCTTGGATGACAGGGACCAGCATCAAGAGTTCAGGGCTTGCGGCTCTGGTCCCACTTTGTCTCCTCTCTCTGCCTCTCTCTCTTTTAGTCTCTCAAGCTGCTTTGAAGTTGGGTGCAGCGTGCAGCATGGGTCACTGAGACCCAGGTCCCTCTGCTCACGGCTCAGTGGGGCCCTTTTCTACAGGAAGGAGAAGTTTTGAGGACCAAGTTGTAGCCATGACCTGGAGGGGCAGAGGATCCCCACCATCCACAACTGTGAGCACCCAGGTTCAGCGGCGGGCAGGGACGGAAGAATCGCTCCTTCTCCCTCAGAAGCCAGACTCTGCCGTCTCCACCTCTGCACCTGAGCCGCAAACAGCAGCTCATTGTCAGGGTGGGGCAAAGCAGAGGACGGTGTCAGTGGCCTCCTGGAGAGGTCAGCTCAGCCGAGTACAAAGAGAAAGCGACAGAACCTCCAATGGCATGACCAAAGGCGCCTGGGAAGGGGCTCACACAGCTTCCCTGGGTGAGAGTAGGGGTAGGTGTCATTTCCCACGACAGGAAACTGTGCTGTTTGGGGAACAGCTGGAGAAGGTTCACAGTTCACTGAGAATTAGCAGAAAAATCACATCCTTCCCAGATGTGCAGAGATAAGGCAGGAATTTTGGGTCTTTGAGAAGCACAGCTAGTGTCTGACTGTCTCGGGCCAGGGGCGAAGTTCAAGGGTCTTGACAGCCAAGTCTCATTTCCTTGAGCATTTCGTGCTCTGTCGCTGTCGTTGTATAAAACCCTCTCTGAGATGGTGCAACAGGGGAAAGCGTTAGTTTACAAGATGAGACTATGAAGGGGTGAGGGCTACTTTTTCAGACACAGCTGGGCCTTCACACTGGCAGGTGTCCATGATTAGAGCTCATTAAAGGCTCCTGGCTCTAGTGCCTGGTAGTCACAGTCACTAACCCTCTGGGCTAGATATGTGTATCCATCAGGATTCAACAAGAGATGCAGAAATGGAAACCCATATATATGAAGGGTCTTCAATAAGTTCATGAGGAGTGAGCGTTGTGGCACAATGGGTTAAGTCACTCTTTGGGATACCCACAGCCCCTAATAGAGTGCCAGTTCGAGTCCTGGCTTCTCCACTTCCATCCAACTCCCTGCTGATGTGCCTGGGAGGCAGCAGATGATGGCTTGAGTACTTGAGTTCCTGCCACCCATCTGGGAGACCTGGATGGATGTGCTGGCTCCTGGTTTCAGCCTGGCCCATCCTTGGTTGCTGCAGCCATCTAGGGAGTGAACAAGCCAATGGAAGATTTCCCTTTCTCTCTGTTATTCTGCATTTCAAATACATCTTGTAAAGGTTATAACAGATGTTTATTATGAAAAACTGTTCATAGGTTTCAGTTTTTTTGCACCAAAATACACTTCCTGTAATTCCATTTTTCCATGAACTTCTTGAAGTACTTACATACTTGCAAGTGTGTTTGTCAAATTCTTGCACCCAAATTATATGTGTGCTATATATAATATTTAATATTACTCTATTTGTATTATACATTTACTTCTCTTAAAAGATTTATTTATTTATTTGAAAGGCAGAGCTACAGAGAGACAGAGGCAGAAGGAGAGAGAGAGAAGTCTTCCAGCTGCTGATTGATTACCCAGATGGCTGCAATGGCCAGAGCTGTGCCAGTCCAAAACCAGGAGCCAGGAGCTTCCTCCGGGTCTCCCACACAGGTGCAGGGGCCCAAGGACTTGGGCCATCTTCCACTGCTTTCCCAGGCCACAGCAGAGAGCCAGATCGGAAGTGGAGCAGCCAGGACTCGAACCAGTGTCCACATGAGATGCCAGCACTGCAGGCTGCAGCCCTACCTGAGCTCCTAGGGTAATGTCAAATCTTTTCAACCAATTTGTATGTATAATTTATTATTATTAAATATTTATAAATGAAGACAATTCTCATGACGTATTGGTGAAGTCAAGTCACTGCTACACGAAATACATGTACTGTTTCTGTGCGTGTAAAGCACAAGAGAGCAAGGACGAGCTGGAGCCCATGAGGAGGAGTGAAACGCCCGTCTGTGCTCACTGCCTTGGCTTGGTGGTATGGACAACCTGCAGAAGCTGAGCCCCTCATTAACAAATGAAACACACCTGGTCAGAAGCGGCTACAGTCGAAGAAGGATCTTGGAGAAGGAGGGGCAGTCACAGAACCAACCACTGCCCTACACGAGGAGCTGAGCCGGCAGCTACGTGAGAACACGTGTGAACTAAGGAACACCTGCCGCCTCCATTCTGCCCACAGGAACCTCTCTGTGGATGGCTCTGACCAGAGACAGACAGAAAAGGAAACTCTCAGAAGTGTGGTTCAGCCTAAAGGGGGACATATTACAAAGTCGCTGTACTCCTCTTCCTGAACTCTTGTCACTGAAATGCACCTGTCAAATCCAAACTTAGTCTCCAGATAATGTGAACAAGTCATGCTTCCCTAACATGATACAGCTATGTGGTGTATAAACGGCCACATTCGCACTCTCTAAACGAACACACAGGGTCCTCTTCCATCTAGAATCGTTCTTTCTTCTCCTAAGAGATTCACACACTCCTTTAATGACCTCAGCCTGAAATTCTGAGCCACGAAGCTAACACTAATGAACACATTTTAGGTATAATAAGAGATAGGCAAAGAAATGTTTAAAATTCAACAAATACATATATAAGCTTCCATTTCAAAATACAGACTATTCATCACCGCTGTCTTACATGCAGCTAGTCACAGGGCCATAGCTGTTATTTCTAAGTACCACGCTTCACTGCACGTCCCACATTCCTGCTGCCTTTAACAAGTTCCTCAGCTGGTCACGGTTCCTTGCCTAGCCGGGGACTCAGGTTTACTGTTGCAGGTTTTGGGGCCATCAGTACCTCTGCCTCAGTTGGGCAGCTCAGTTTACATCACAGTCCATGGAACACTAAGAGATGTCCCAGAGTGTCTTCTGTATTCCATGCATAATCCTCCTTTCCTCGCTTGTGGGATAGCAGCCCCGTTTCCCCGCTAGGCAGGATTGAGGATCCCAGCCCGTGGAGCACCCTCCTTTTTCATCTGTTGATTCACTAGCACAATGAGCCCCAAACAGCCAGATAGAAATCTAAAATTCCAGTTCAATGGGATAATTGTTTCACAGTTAGTAAAGGGTTTCTCCCTTAAGAGCTATCTTAGCTTGTCATCTATACAGCAAAATATTTGAGGCAGCTGACCTAATAACGAGAAAGGGTTCAAGTCCATGACTGGGTGGCCCCCTTGGTTCAGTGTCTGATGATGGCAGTAGTGGGGGTTACATAGAGAGTTAAGTGGTGAGCCAGGAAGCAGAAAGAGAGAAAGACGCAGGGGGGCCCAAATCAGGCTTTATAGCCAACACTCCAGCGAGAATTACCTTCCATGGGCATGGCTCCAATTACCTAAAGACTTTCCTCTGGGCTCACCTCCTAAATACCATAATTGCATGGCATTTCCATCCCCTTAGAGCCATTAATTTAGAACTTTGGGGTCTAAACCTCTGTATGAGTTCAAACCACATGTTAAAGCCACTGGCACCACAGAACCTAAAGCTGAAGGGAAACAAAATTTTGCTACTGGATTTCTAGGTATGATATTGAGTGGTGCTACTCCCATTTTCAGCACTTGGTTCTTACACCTGTGGCTCCTGGCTAGGGGAGAAAGAGCCCTGTCCGCTGGGTGCTGATTTAGAGCACCTGCTGCATCTTGGAGGCTATTGCCCCACCCCTTCAATATTTTGCCACCTATGAAGCGCTGTTAAGGAGTCTCCCAAAGGACATTCCATCATCCAGCCAAGCCAGTCCTTTTAAGATGATAGGGAACATAACTGATGAGTTTCAGGAAGTCCAGGAACATAATAGATCCATTGTTGTCCTTTATTTTTTATTAAGCAAGTTCCTTGTTTGGAAGTCTGTTTGCAATACAATGAAGGGAGGTAAGGCACTCAGTTAAGTTCACAGATGGTAGAGTTGGAAGAAACATTGCAGGCAAGGAAGGCAAAACTTTGTCCAGAGTAAGTGGCTAAGAACAGAATATTCTCTCTTCCCTAATGGAAGTGGCCCAACGTAGTAATCTGCCACCCAGTCCTTATACAAAGTGAATGGTGCCATATTAAGGGCTCAGAGTTGATCTTTGCTGTTGGAAGATTGGCCACCTAGCAGTGGTTGCGAGCAGATTAGTACTGGTGACTAGAATTCCATATCCCTGGGGCCAGCACTGTGGGAAAGCTGGTTAAGCTGCTGCCTGCAGCACTGACATCCCATATGGCACCTGTTCAATTCCTGGCTGCTCCATTTCCAATCCAGCTTCCTGCTAATGCACCTGGGAAAGCAGTGATGGATGGCCCAAGTGGTTGGGCCCCTGCACCCAAGTGGGAGACCCAGAAGAGTCTCTGGCTCCTGGCTTTGGTCCAATCCAGCCCTGGCCATTGTGGCCATTTTGTGGGTGAAGCAGTGGATAAAAGATCTCTCTAAGTCTTTCAAATAAAAAATAAATAAAACTTAAAAGAACCCCATGTTCCTGAGCTACAGGGTACATGGTGCACATCCATTGGCCAATGACAGGAGTGGCTTGGGCAAAATGCTAACTAGCATCTACAGAATGGGTCATCCTCATCCTATCCACTTATTAAATTCTTCTCTGGTAGGACTACCTTTGGTGAGCATTTGTGCATTAGTTACCACTATGTTCACTCCACTTACATCTGGGGAGGCCTTTCCTCACGCCCTTCCACCCAGACCTTGCCATTTATTTCCCAATCTTATTCTTTCTAAGTCTCCGACTATCCAGTCAAAACATCAGCTACAGCCCATGAGCCAGTTTAGGTCCGTACCATCTCTCCTTCTTGGCAAAATGAACAACATTCCCTGACCAAAGTGCTACCCAGTGGCAGTATTTCCTTTCTTCACTGGCCTTCTGGCCCATTCCAGTGTGGGGTTGTAGTTGCAGCCGCCCTCTTTCATGTGGGTTGTCATCGCTAACCCATTCCTGAAGGCTTTTTCTCTGCCTGTTAAATAAGTTTAAGGAATTTCCCCATGAGGTGGAAAGAGAGAAGGCAATGTGGCAGACACAGGGGCCATGAGGATCTGGGCCACCTTCTCATACACTTGAGTTCTCAGGATCTTCCCAAGCCTGATTCACATATACCACTTCCACTGGGTGATGGGCTGCAGCTGTGAAGGATGCTGTTTATGGCTTGATAAGTCAGACAACCCCAAGTTCACAGTCAGTAGCTTAGTCCCAGGGCTCCAAGCCAGAAAAGATGGCTATTTCTCCAAAAGAGAGTCGTTATCTGTAGGGGATGACAAAACTTTGCTCCCAAATCCTAAGGGTCTGCTCTATGATTCATGTAGTGTTGCCCTTGGAAGCCCTCCATGCGTCATTGCTATCAATCACTGACACTTCATGCATAAACATGTGACTTATATGGTCCAAGTGGTGGAGCAGCCTGGGATATCCTTCAGATCCTCTTGTTCTGCAACCCACTCCAAACCACCAGGTTTTTGAGTTGCTTGGAAAGTGAGCCCAGTACAACAACGTATTCCTCACCTTGAATGAGATATCGCAAAATGCCTTGGAGAATGGAATTCCACAAATGGTTTTGTGGGGCTTATTTCTCTCCCACTGATGCAAACATTATCTCCCTGTGCCTAAAATAGTGACCATATGTCCAGTCAGTGTAAGATCATCAACGTATAGGGCCAGAAGGAGGTCCCGTGAACGGGAAACTGGCCAAGTCTCTGCGGACTAGAGCATGGTGTAGAGATGAAGCTTCCCTAGCCTTGAAGTAGAATAGTTCAGTTCTGTCATTGGCCTTGCCAACTCAAAAAAACATGCTTTTGATGGTTTCATTAATAGATTTAGAGAAAAGGGCGTTTGCCAGATCAATGGACACATATCAGGTGACAGAGGATGTGTTGATTTGCTCCTACAACAAATTCCATCTGGTAGAGCAGCTGCAATTGAAGTCACCACCTGATTAAGTTTAAGGTAATTCACTGTCATTCTCCAAGCTCCATCTGTCTTCTACACAGGCCAACTCTATTAGACTGGTTATATGGGGGATGTGGTGGGTAATCACCAGGCCTGTATCTTTCAAGTTCTTTGTGCTGACACTAATCTTTACTGTGTCTGCAGAAATGTGGTATGGTTTGCTCCTCAAAGTAGAGGAAGCACTAGTGGCTTGTGGAGCCACTATGTGGAGCTTCCATAGCAGTCCATGCTGCACAGGTTAGGGAACCGGTGTGGAGGTTCTGCTCCGTGTGTCTGTGCTAACTCTGCTCTCCAAAACTGCAGAGGAATGGCAGCAAGTTGATTTCAGAGCCTACTGGGATCACTGTGAGATGGAAATGAACCAAAGCTCTATTAGTCATTTGTCCTTCAGAAACGCCTGCTCTGGTGGGCTGCAGTGACATTTCAGACATCCAGAACTGAGTGCAGATTTAGACCCAGTGTCTCATAATCCCTGAAAAGTCTGATTGCTTCTATTTCCCTGATGCGCATTTGGGTAAGTGCCCACTGAGCTTTTTAGAAAAGATAGGACAGCAGTACACAGGATCAATTTTTGAAGGAGATAAGGTTCCTTCTTCAAGAACTCACTTTTATCAAAGAAATATTACGTCATATCTCTTAATCAGCATGGCAGCTAACTTCCCCTTAACTACTTTACCCCATTATTGTCAGCTCATTTTTGCACTGAGGTGAGTAACCTGGGAGAGGATGCCAGTGTCGCTTGGATTTTGTCCCTGTGAGCAGAGCAGCTCCATCTCTAGCTTCCTCTTCGGTGCAGGGCCACTGCTTTATGAAACCTGTGAGTCCTGAAGGGACTGTTAGCACTTGGCCCATAGTAGGCTTGCAATAAATCGTTGGAATCCATTCTTACTGTTAGACCTAACCATAGGAGTGTAAAATCCACGTTCATCCTATTAGTTTGAATGCTTTCGAGAGTTTTTTTTTCTTTTAGTTTGTTAATCTCTCCCTATATAGCTTAACTTTTGTGTCATCAGCAAAGTAAATCTTTCCTGTCCCTTTGCTTTTCCTTCAGAGTTGAAATCGCAGAGCTGTTGTCTCTGGCATCTCCAGGCCCAGCCATGACTGGCTTACTCCTGGGCAAGACTCCATGCAGGTGCACTTGCGTGGCGAGTGGTGTGTACCATAACCGACTTCGCTCTTCATCTCTACATGTAGCTTCCCGTGCATAAAGATCAACCTTCCATAATCACTCAGTGACTATGAGGTATGGACCTAGGGAGGAACCATCCAATGACCACTGGGTCCTGCATGTAGTATTTACTTGCTCGGTTTTAAAAATGTCTTCAGAAATACCACAATTCATTATAATTTTATAAATAAACAGGGGATAGTACAATACAAAAAATCCAGGGTAGTCCAGTGCTTTAAAGCCAAATGGTCTGCCTAAGGGCAATGTATCCAGTTTCTTGGTTTCCCCTGCTGTCAGATAGGAACTATTATGCCTGTCCCAAAGGTTGGCTGTGAGGATTAAAGGAACAAATGTTTTAAATCTCTTTGAACAGCTCTTGGCATAGTGTATGTGTGCTTAGTAAGTGTTTGCCCATTGAGGCGGGTGTTCTCAGTGTGCTGTGGTTATGTATTATCATGATGGATGCTGGGGGCAGGGTACTGGGAACTGTGGGAACTGTATTTGCAACTTCATGGTGGTCTTTTGGTCTTTTTTTTTTTGACAGGCAGAGTTAGACAGTGAGAGAGAAAGAAAGAGAAAGGTCTTCTTTTTCCGTTGCTTACCCCCCAGATGGTTGCTACGGCTGGTGCACTGCACCGATCTGAAGCCAGGAGCCAGGTGTTTCCTCCTGGTCTCCCATGCAGGTGCAGGGCCCAAGGACCTGGGCCATCCTCCACTGCACTCCAGGGCCACAGCAGAGAGCTGGACTGGAAGAGGAGCAACCGGGACAGAATCCGGCGCCCCGACCAGGACTAGAACCCAGGGTGCCGGTGCCGCAGGCAAAGGATTAGCCTAGTGAGCTGCGGCGCTGGCCTTCATGTGGGTCTTAAACTATTTCAAAAACACCATGTTACACAGAAAAGAATAAACCCAATGCGCACATCTCCCAGCTCCACAGCCTGCACCTGTTCTTAGATAGCCCTTCTCCATCATTAGGAAAACGTGTGTTTCCTGCAGGTGCTGCTCTGAACGGGGGGCTGTGTACTAGTTAGCTTTCTGTTCCTACAATGAAATACAAATATCTGGGGAAACTATCTGCATCCAGAGAAAAGGGTAATATAGCTCACAATTTTGGATGTTCAAGTCCAAGACTGGGCAGCCCCATTGGCGGGGCATCTGGTACACATGGCCGTTGGCCATGTGGAGAGCCGGGAGGCAGAGCAGGAGAGGCTGGGCATCTCAGCATTCATAATCACCCCTCTCACGAAAATTACATCCTGCGGTAGTGACCCCAGGACCTCCTGCGAGGTCCCTCAGCTAATCACCATCTTTGGATCAGGTTTCCACCCTCTTAGTATCATGACCTGAGGACGATGGGGTTCAAGCAAGTCTTGTTCACAGCATAGCTGGTCACGAGGTTAATCAAAACAAGAGTCTATCAAGATCCAACTGTTCATTAAAACAGCTTTAGCTACTTAGAAAGTAACTAATTAAGCTTTCAAGGAAGTGAAAACTTGGGTGTAAAATCCCCAAGGGGAAAGCTGTGAGGGATATCATTCTGTCTCTTTCAATTATTAACGGGGACTTCAGCAACGATTCCTCAGGAGCGTGTATGAGGTCAGGGTCATGGGTGTACACATCTACCACGTTTGTCTTAGAAATCTCAAAGATGACTTCCTTGTCACGTTCATGGTCCAAGTATCAGATAAAGTCCTGCAGAAGCACACGTGATGGATGCTGTAAGGGGACATCCAACAGTTCATGGAAAAGCAGCTTTACTTTTATTTTAAAATGTATGTACTTTTGGGGCTGGTGCTGTGGCTCAGCAGGTTGTGCCAGCGTCTGCTGAGTTGGCATCCCATATGGGCACAGTTTGCATTTGAGCCCCTCCACTTCCTCCCCACTAATCCAGCTCCCCACTAACATGCCTGGGAAAGCAGCAGAAGATGGTCCAAGTGCTTGGGCCCCTGCACCCATGTGGGAGACCTGAATGAAGCTTCTGGCTCATGGCTTCGGCCAGGCCCTCCCAGGCCAGACCACTGTGGCCATTTGGAGAGTGAATCAGCAGATGGAAGAACTCTCTCACTCTCTGTCTCCTCTGACATCCTGTAACTCTGACTTACAAATAAAATTTAAAAATGTATTTGTTTATGAAGGGATTATCATTATATTCTTAGAATTGTATCAACAAAGCACACTGAATCTGTTAAAAACTAATTAAAAATTTTTAAAAATTACAATAAAAATATGTATTTGACACAGAGAGAGCAAGAGCGAGAGAGAGAGAGAAGCTTTCACACACTGGTTCACACCCCAAATGCCAGCCACAATCAGGGCTGGAGCCAAGCTGAAACTAGGAATCTGGAACTCCATCCGGGTCTTCCAGGTGGTGTGAGGGACTCAGGTAGTTGCCTCCCAGGGTGCACATTAACAGGGAGCTGGAACTAGGCACAGAGCTGGAATGCAAACCCAGGCATTCAGATATGAGAAATGGGTGTCCCAAGTTGTATATTAATCACTATTCTAAACACCTGCTCTGCATATAGTCTTCTAATTCAGTTTTATTTCAAGAACTTTCTGAAGCTCCCTCCTATAGTTTAATACATCAATCAAGTGAGAGAAGCACAAGGAAAATATCTGAGAATGCAATTTCTTTTCTTTTTTTTTTTTTTTCTTTTGGACAGGCAGAGTTAGACAGTGAGAGAGAGAGAGAGACAGAGAGAAAGGTCTTCCTTTGCCATTGGTTCACCCTCCAATGGCCTCTGCAGTGGCGCGCTGCGGCCGGCGCACCGCACTGATCCAAAGCCAGGAGCCAGGTGCTTCTCCTGGTCTCCCATGTGGGTGCAGGGCCCTAGGACCTGGGCCATCCTCCACTGCACTCCCAGGCTACAGCAGAGAGCTGGCCTGGAAGAGGAGCAACAGGGACAGAATCCGGCGCCCTGACCAGGACTAGAACCCGGGGTGCTGGTGCCACAAGTGGAGGATTAGCCTAGTGAGCCACGGTGCTGGCCGAGAATGCAATCTTTAAGACATTAAGATGAAGGATACGTGCAGATTTCCTGTGGTTCTGGTAATTGTGCTAATCCAGCCAGGAGTGTGCAGACCTTGAGAACCCAAGCTGAGGCAGAAAGAGGAGTTTCCTGATTCTTCCCACTTAAACTCAAGCCAGTATCTCAGGGAAAATGGATTCCGACAAAAGCAAGCTCCTTGGGCATCCTTGAAGGTAGTGGGAAGAAAATTTCTCTCATAGAGGGAGTGGCATATGTGGTTCACAGACTAATGTTTAAGTCACAACAAAATTAATATTAGGGAAAAAATAAAAACTAGTTTGTAATTTTACCTAGAAAAGGTAAAGTGAAATAAAATCTCCTTGGGGAAGGCATTGTAGCACAGTGGTTAAGAGCCACTTGGTATGCCCACAACCTGGGTTCGAGTCCCCACTCTGCTTCTGATCCAGCTTCCTGCTAGTGCGCACCCTGGGAAGCAGTTGGTGATGTGTCAACTATCTGTCTCCCTCATACTACCTGGAAGACCCGGATGGAGTCCCAGCTTCCTAGTTTCAGCTTGGCTCCAACCCTGGCTGTGGCTGGCATTTGGGATGTGAACCAGAAATTCATTCTCTCTCTCTCTCTCTCTCTCTCTCTCTCTCTCATCTTTTAAATAATAATTTAAAATAAAAAACAGAATCAGGATTAGAAAAGTCCATACTTCCAATCTGTAACACAATCACTGGGCAAGACAGCAATGGAGTATAGGAGGCTGAATTCCAATCACGTTAACCTGGGCCCTGTCTCCAAGCTGGAGAAGTAGCAAGAAGACCTACCAAGAATCTTTTACCTTATTTTCAGAACCAAGTGCTGACCTGCCCATGCTGTATTGTGGGGACCCTCTGACAACCTCAGTTGTTAACATGGGACCCTTGCTGCCTCTTCCCTTTCAAATGGTGCCCCCCTGACTCAAGCCAGGGGTCTGCATCCTGGAAATACAGGGACCCCTTCTCCAGCGGATGCTCCCTGCCTGAGTCCTTGTGCCTCCTCTCAGCGCCTGCAGTCTCTCCTGGACTGCTACCAGCTGATCTTTATGAGTGTACACTTAGGGCTACTAACATTTGAATTTCCATCACTCCTCTTGGCACCCCACTTTGGCATTTTGTTCCTATTTCTTACACACTCCCTTTTTTATTTCATAGATCCTTGTAAGCCATCTGCCAGCCTTTCTGGAGTGAGATGGCATATAAATACATATATACATGCATACATAAAATATACACTGATATTTGAGAAAGACATAGCAAGCACAAATGCATCCCTCAAGGTCATTGGTATTTAAGGGAATGAGGGGGAGAGAGAGCCATACTTTTCAAAGTTCCTACGTCAGTAATCTGATCCCTTCCTGGGTCCACTCCCAGGGACCCAGGTAATAGCAGAACCATGGTGGAGAGAAGACTTGCTCTGAGACCTCCTTCTACGGGGTCTCTGAATATTCTGATGTTCCCCCAACCATGGCTCAGAGCCACGTTTCTAGGTTTTCTCAGTTCTATTCCTGCATTTGGTCAGAAAGCAGCCCACTCTGCCAGATGAGCTCATCTCTCCTTGGAAATGCCATCCGCAAGCTATGAGGTAGTGTTATGGCCTTGGCTTTTAGGGAGAGCACAGAAGAAAAAGGCAGTTGAAGGGCATTTCTGAATCCTTTGCAAAGCCTTTGATGAAGCCATTGTCCATTGCAAGAGCAAATGTCATTCAAATGAAGATTTCTCTGTACAATTCATTGTAAAAGAAAATAATAGAGGAAAATTTGACTCTAGAGGAAGACTCTCCATTTCTGTAGTTAAGAATTTCAGTGCCCAACACACTGTTATTTTTGTTTTCTTTGTCTTCCAGGGGATTCTGTTCAATCCAGCAAATACTGAGTGCTGGAGCCGGTTAGAGGTTATGGGACACTTATGCTCTACGAAATACAGGGCAAAATACTTAGCTATGATTTCTTTAGATTTGTTTTTTATAATGATCTCTCTTCAACAATTTTCTGAAAAGCTTAGCTCTCTAAATGTTTAAGTACCCTGTTGTATTTCTGCAGTGTTTTTCCAGGGGAAGACAGATTTCTGGAGCATTGTCTGTCTTGGTGTTTGCTCTGGGCTAGAAGCTGCCCTCTGTTTTTCTACTGTTCTACATCCCCTTCTCAGGGTGGGGGGTTGGCAGGGAATGTAAGGTCCCCTCCACTGGCACAGCTGATCATCTGCAGGTGAACACCTTCCCTGAGTTGGGCCGATCAGGTTTTACATACTGGAACCTGAGAAGTAAGTCAGGTGGTCTTGGGGGCAGAGGGCACCATTTGGAGTGATTGTGATGGAACTCATGGTCATGAGAAAGAGATGAGAATGATGTACTCAAGAAGGAGAAAATCAAACTCTTAAACTAAACCTGCAGATAAAAGCTGAAGTGAAAGACTGTCGGGACCCGGGGAAGGAAGTGAGTCTGAAAAGGAAAGGGTGAGAAAAGTGCGGGGGGGCTACAAAGACTGTTTTGATTGTTTCTCTTTTCTCGGTGAAG